TTTTCATGTTTACACTTACTTTTTGACTTCTAGGACCTGCAAATACAACTGATTTTCCTGAAGACATACCAGCTGTGGAATGCCTGACCCAGGAAGTATTACTTCTTTGGGAAAAAGTTGCTTCAGTAGAATCCCAGGATCAAGAAATACCAGGAAACCAAAGACAACAGGTAAGTTATTGGCATATAGACTCACTCACTCACACACACACGCACACACACACACTCTCTCTCTCTCTCTCTCCCTCTCCCCCCCTCTCTCCCCCTCTCTCCCTCCCTCTTCCCTTCTCTTTCCTTCCTCCCCCCTCCCCAGCCCTGACATCCCCCAACACTTCTGGCTTCCTTTCTTCTTTAGTACACGTGGTGGATTCTCCCCCCTGCCCCTTGTCTCCCCCTCTCTCCCTCCCTCTTCCCTTCTCTCTGCCGCTCTTCCCCAGGGATCCCCTGGGTGTGGTTCAGCCCTTCCTTTGTTCCAGCTTTTTCTAGGAGGCTGCTCTCTTTGTCTCTGCAGTTTTTTAGTTTATGCCTACACAGGGCTGGGTTACAAGATAGATTTGCTGATGTTCATGTAGAATTTAAGTGGTAAGCAAAGCCCCTTTGGACAAGAAGCTTTCTGTTGGGACAGGAAATCACTTTCAGCTCTGTGACCCCGTAAATAAGCCAGAGCTGGGGATTTGAGCCTGATTTGTTTTCTGGAGGCTGTCTCAGGAGACGTGGTGTAAAGGAGCGACCTCATACCGTGTGGTTCACACTGCTGTGCTGGTTGCTGGGTTGGAGACTCAGGGGACGCCACTCTAGAACTTCACAGGCAGCAGCATGTGGCGTGGTGCAGAGTGTGCAGACTCTGTGTGCACATGGGCAAAGGCCTGCCAGGTGTGGGCACAGTGGGCAGCTCAGGACCATCCTGACCCAGAGTCTCTGCTTCCTTCCAGAAAGAGGACAGCCCAGGAAGGAGCTGGGCCTGAGTGTGGGCCGGTGGCTAGGAAGTGACCATGTGGGGGTGAAAGAGTTCTTAGAAGAACCCTGGGCTTCTGAGGCTGCAGCTGGGGATGTCGGCTCACCTGGCAGAGGTGGTTTGTCTGGCTCCAGCAGCTCATGTGCCCGACTTCCCCTCCACCTGCCCTGCCACGGGTCATGCAGAGACAGCAGCCTTCTAGTGTTGGCTCTTGGGTTCTCTCCATCCCTTCTCCCCAGCACTGGGTGGCAGTGGTGCTTGGTCTCCAGAGGTCTGGGTGCTGCCCCACATTGCTGCCTGTGGGGCACCTTCTCTCCCCTGCCCATAGGCCCCCGACAAATGAGAAAGGCTTCCCACAGGGAGGCTTGTGTCTGCCTGGTGCTCCTGCCTGTGCGTCCACCTCACAGAGTGACTTCTCGGTGACAATCTGATAGGGAAGCCATAAAACCCCATAAAAGGCTTTGCTAAAGTCAATAAGTCACTCCTTGCTATTCCCAAGCCAGTGTTCTGTGTGTCTGCTATCTGGGTTTGTGTTCTTTAAATCACAGTTTATCTAACACCAGGCAATTAAGAATACCACAAGGCTTAAAAAACAATCAGGTTATCAGAGTGTGGAATTATTCCGTTTGGCAACTGAGACGAGCCCAAACAGCTGCCTGGAGTGGAGGGTTCCTCATGTTGGCTCTTGACTCTGATGCCTCTGGCTCTGAGGGAGGGGACCCTGAGGAGACGGTGGCAGCAGCACAGAGTCCCAGGCCTGCCAGCGCACCCAGCAGCCAGCACCCACCGTCCTTTCTCTAGCAGTGGGTGGGGGTGCCATGTGCATTCTCACCTGGCCACTTCATAGTCCAGTGTGGACCTTTTTGGGCCTGGTTTTAGGTGTTTGTGTGTCTGGCAGGCACGGTGGTGTGAGAGCTGTGGGCCACAGGCCCAGGCCCTGGCGCTGCCCGGAGCCCACGTTCTCAGTGCTCACTGGAGCTGCTGCTGGAGGCCAGGGGGGGCAGGATGATCCAGCAGGTGTCTCGGGGAGGAGCTGAAACTGCGTAATTTATCCTCATCAAAGTTGTAATTCAAGTATTTGTCAGGTTTAGTTTCATCTCCTTATATTTGACCCTGATTTTAAGGATTTTGAAGATGTTTCTCTGTGTGAATTTTTTGTTTTAAGAAACAACTTGGGCCAGACATGTTGGCTCACACCTGTAATCCCAGCACTTGGGGAGGCTGAGATGGGCGGATCACGAGGTCAGAAATTCATGACCAGCCTGACCAACACGGTGCAACCCCGTCTCTACTAAAAATACAGAAACGAGCCAGGCGTGGTGGTGGCACCTGTAGTCCCCGCTACTCGGGAGGCTGAGACAGGAGAATCGCTTGAACCCTAGAGGCAGAGGTTCCAGTGAGCCGAGATCGTGCCACTGCACTCCAGCCTGGTGACAGAGCGAGACTCCGTCTCAAAACAAAAAAAGAAGGAAAGAATTTGGTTAGACCCATGAAGGATGGCTTCAAGTTAATGATCTGGGGTAATTTCCTGATCAACCCAGGCCCTGCTCCTCGAGCCTTCCTGAGTGGGCTGCCGTGTCAGGAATGAGGCTGATTGCCCTGGAGCCCTTCCCTGCCCAGGGCTCCCTTCTGCAGCCACTCACTCTGGGTGCCCACCTGTCTTCCGGAACAGGCTGTTTTGGAGTGAGCGGAAGATCACCAAGGCCAGGGAGTGGTTCCATCGCACTGTGAAGATCGACTCGGACCTGGGGGACGCCTGGGCCTTCTTCTACAAGTTTGAGCTGCAGCATGGCACTGAGGTGAGGCCCTCTGGGTCTGTGGCGGGGAGTTCCGCCAGCCCCGGGGGCTCTAGGAGGTGGCCAAGGCCAGCGTGACTCTGCCCGGGTTGGGAGGATAGACAGGGTGGGTGGGGCACAGAATCCTCGGCACCTCCCCATGAGGCAGTCTCTGACTCTGCGTCGTTTTCTGGTTGTAGCCTCGCAGCCCCACACCCTGGAACTGAGGTGCCCAGTCCCTTGGAGTGGCCTGTCTGCTTGCGCATTTTAATGAGTTATCTGTTGGCTGGAGCCTGCGCTCACCTTAGGAATGGGAATGGAGTTGGCCTTTCTCTTGGGGCTGAGCTTGGGTGTGGCTTTCTGGGAGAGCCTCGACAGCAGCTCCCTCTGCTCCCACCTGCCTCCCTGGAGCCAAGCATCATCAGCTCTGTGCTGGAGGGCAGGCAGGCTGTCCTGGTCCTCCTTGGAAGGTGGTGCCAGCCCATGTGAAGCCTGACTCCTTGTTTGGAGAAGGCAGATGTGAGCACTTGTGTGAGACGCAGAATTGGGAGTCCATGCTCCTCAGGAGGGGCTCCTTTGAGGAACACACCTGGAAGAGCTTTGCCTTCTGGTTCAGGGCCTGTGCCCCCACACCCGCCAGTTGGGGCTGGTACTGCCAGAGCCAGGTCTGCGTGGGGGCAGGTGGGGAGTGGCCTGGGAGGGCCCTTGCCTGAAGTGCCCTGTGGTCCCACCAGGAGCAGCAGGAGGAGGTGAGGAAGCGCTGTGAGAGTGCAGAACCTCGGCATGGGGAGCTGTGGTGCGCCGTGTCCAAGGACATCGCCAACTGGCAGAAGAAGATTGGGGAGGTCCTTAGGCTGGTGGCTGGCCGCATCAAGAACACCTTCTGATTGGCCGGTCTCCATGGACAGAGCTTGGGCTGCACAGGGGAGGCGTGTGGAGGGCTCTGGGCTGTGTCCTTCATTATCCTCCAGTAAAAGTTTTTATGTCTTGTGTCAGAGCGGGTGGCCTGCTGGTTTTCTCTGGGGCTCTTCCCTGGCTCCTGCTTCTGCTGCCCCAGTTGGGCCTGTCCTGGCCTGTCCCATGCTGTCCTGGGGTGGTTGGGATTGCCCTTGCTTGGGCAGAAGCCTCTTGCAGACAGCTGGTGTCTCACGGAGGAGACACTGGCGGTGCCGGGATTCCCCAAGACTGTGGAGAAGGTGGTGGGGTGCAGATGTTTGGGTGAAAGCCATGTGTGCGGACAGCTGGAGACAGTGGGGATGGAGCTGTGTGCAGGCCAAGGTGCTCACAGGAGCCTGGCGCCGCCTGCAAGGGTTTTGGTCAGGGGACACCTGGGGCCTCCCTGTGGTCTTGAGTGCGAACAGCAGAGCTCAGCTCTGCCCAGGGCCTCTCCACACTGCCTCCCAGGCCCCTCAGGCACATGTTGAGTGGCGGTGTCACCAGTAAGAGTGTTCTTACTTTTGGAGGTGAGTTTATTTTTGCTAACTTATCATTAACAGTTAAACCCCTAAAGCACTTGTAATCGAAAGTTGTATTACCTGGGAGACATGGCTTCTTTTCAGCCTTAGCTGTGTGAGGATGAAGGACTTCCTCAGGCCTGGATCCTGTGTGCGCTTTCAGTTGCGAGCCAGCTGGCTCTTTTGTGTAGGCCAGGGCTGGAGACATCTGGCTGGAGGTCATGGCTGGCCCGGAGGCTGTGGGTGGAGTGGCTCAGGCCTGCCGGGGAGGAGGAGGCTGCTGGAGAGCAGCTGTCCCTGGACGTTCCCTGTGAGAGGGGAGCCCCCGAGGGTCCCACCTTGTCCTGTGGTGCCAGTGACAGTCTCGGGTGGCCAGGCCCTGACCCACAGCTCTGCCCTCCTGCATATGGGGCCTGTGCTCGGCCTGGTGGTCTGCCTGCCCTGCTCTGATGAGTGAGAATGGCTGGGGTGGGGGAGCCCTGTCTGCACATGGGGTGGTCCTGCTAGGCCAGGATGTGGGTGTGGGTCCCCTTTCTCTGGTTCTGGAGACCTCAAGGACATGGCCAGTCCAGGGCAAGGGACCCCTGTGTGGGGTCAGAAACTGCTGGTTGGTCTCTGCTGGGCAGGCAGCCTGGGGTCCAGCTCAAATCATTGGAATCTGGAAGTCCTTCCTCACCCCATCCTGAGGAGGAGCTGCTGAAGCTTCATGAGTGTTCTCATTGAAACTTGGGGAGGAGTTTCCTTTGATATCTCGTGGAGAGATGGAGGAATGAGGGAGCCTTCAGAATTTACTCTGAAGATGAAGAGGGTCCTGCAGCTTTTTGGAGTCTATAAGCCAGCCTGGCTCTTTGCAGATGTGGAAACCAAGGCCTAGGGAGGAAGCCAGGAGGGAAGGCCTGGCTTCTTGGCACTGCTCTGACCTTGGAGCTGAGCATGGCCAATGCTGGGTGGGCACTGAGGGGTCACACAGAAAAGCATGTGTCCGGCCATGTTCAGGGGAGGCTTCCTGCAGGGGGCCCTTGGAGAATTCCAGGGCGCCTGCGCCGTCCATGAGTGTCTCTGTCTTGCCTCTGTGGGGTTTTCTCAAAAAGCTTCGAGGTGGTCACACTACAGCTGTGCGTCACAACAGTAGGGATCCATTCTGAGAAACACCTTGCTAGGTGATGTGGTCGTCTTGCAAACTTCAGAGTGCATTTACGCAAGCCTGGCAGGCACGGCCTCCTGCACCGCCAGCCTGGACTCCTGGGCTGCGGACCTGCACAGCCTGTCACTGTGGGCACTTCTAGCGTTAAACACATGAAGAGGCAGAGACGTGAAGATACAGTGCTAGAACCCTGGGGGACCCCTGTCCTGTGTGGTCTGTTGTTGACTACTGTGTGAATCACTGACTTTTCCTCCTGGGAAACTACCCTGACTTTTCTTCAACTGAATTTTTTCAGCCCAGAAAGGTGAGTTGCTCCTCAGAGGTGGTTCTGAGACGTCTCTTCACTGCTGCCTGTCAGGCTGCAAACCGGGGTGCGCTGGCACCACAGGCAGCAGAGCAGTAGCTTCAGCGAGGGCACCCCTCAGCCCAGGAGGAGTGAGGCCAGGCGGGCAGTGGGGGCCCCAGAAGCCCACGTTTTGGGACCCGCTGGGGCAGGGCCCCCTGGATGTCAGGCTGCAGGTCTGGCAGCTGGGGAGGGGAAGAGGGGCTCCCACCAGCTCTGCTGCTTGGCCAGATCCTGGGGGAGGCAGCTCTCGCTGGCCAGAGTTGGCCCCTGTCTCACCTGGCTCCCCTCCCCCACCAGCTGGGCCCTGCACTGCCCCAGCCCATGGGGCGCCCACCCCTCCTTGACCGAACGGGGTCTTTGAGACTGACAAGTTAATCCAAGACCCACAGCAGCGCCCTGGATCCCCTGGGAGAGGTGGCGGCTCAGCTTCAGGGCCAGGTTAATTGAAGTGATAGGGAGTGGGGAGAGGGAAGGGGCAGGGCTGGGATTGCGTGGCCTCTCCTGCTCCCTCCCTCAGCTTGAAGGAGCCAACTTCAAAAGCCTCCGCCTGGCCTGTGCCTCTGCAGTCCTCCAGGCAGCCTGTCCAGGGAAGCTGTTGGCTGGTGTTGGCCCCGGTGTGGCGTTGCACACCCCGTCTGAGGACCCAGGATCATGTGCATGGCCTGCTGGCGGGAGTGAGGGAGGGCAAGATCCTGAAAGGTCCATGGTGAGCAGCTGTGGGCCTCCTCTAGGGAGGGGGCTCACTTGGGTGGAGGGGCTGGGGGTACACAGCCCAGGAGATACTGCTTGTTCTGCTGAGCCCCCACCGAGGAACCTCTGGTTGGCTCCGGTCACTGTGTCACTGTGGGTGGCAGTGGGTGGGTGACCCTGGCTCCTGGTAGTGGGGAGGGGGGGCTCCTGGGTGCCAGGCCACCCTAAGCTGAGCTGAGGCTTGACCGAGGAAATACTGCCAAAAAGCTCGGTGGGACTCCTGGGCAGCCCAGCCCGTCTCCCCACCTGGGTGAGGCCCAGCAGGTGCTGCACATCTTGTGGCTCCAGCAAGCCTGCTCAAGAGTCGGGCTCTGGTTCTCGCGATGAATCTCTGACCCACAGCAGGCAGAGGATGACGTGGCAATTCTGAACCCGCCAAGTTGGCCGTGGCGTGTATGATGGGGGGGCCAGGTTTCAAGAAGGGGCCACGGCAAACCATCTGCTCTTCCAGCCATTGCTGCTTGGTGCTCCTAGCAGGAGCTGCCACCCCAGCCCCAGGCCCCCAGCTCTAGGTGAGGGTTGGGGTGCTGCTTGGCCAGGCTCCCCTGCCAGGGCTGGGAAGCCGAGTCGAGTCCTGTCATCGCGGTCGGGTTCGCACGATTAATTTTCCAGCCCTAGATCTGCTGTCTTGACTCTAGCCTGGGGGCCCAGGGGAAGGTTTGGGGGCTGGGAACCTGGGGGCCATCAGCCGTCTCCTTGCTGTTTGGGCTTTTTTCCCTGTGGGAGCAGGCCTTCCACTTTGGTTCGGGGGAGGCCTATGGGACAGGCTGGTACAGGCAGAGGGGCTTCTGCATCTGTTGATTGGGGCTGGATGTGGTGGCCCCTTCCTCCTCTGTGGCTTCTTGGAGTCCCCCGAGCCTTCCCCTTCCAATAGGGTGTGCCTTGAAGCTCTGAGCCCCTACGCCTGCCCCAATTGGGTTGGGGGTACCAGGAGACCAGATTCTCCCGTCTCTGTGAGCTAACCCAGAGGGCACCAGTGCGGGAGGTGTGGGGTTGAATAGGTTGAATGGGCATGGCCACAAGTGAGATGGAAGCTGTACTGGGACAACTTCCCACTGTACCCCCAGGAGCCTGCAGACCAGCCCCACTCGAGCTGTGTGGGGCCAGAGGGGCCCTGCCCTGTGCAGTGTTGCGGGCGCTCCACCCCTTGCCGGCCCCACTCCCACAGGGACTACAGTGCCAGGCTCTCCTGCCCCTGGGCCTGTCCTGTCTCCTGCTGGGTTCTTCAGGTCAGTGACATGGCCTCCCAGCCCGCCTCACTCGCGCTGCACATCTTCGCAGGGAGCATAGAGCTGTGTGGTTTGCAGATCTAGCTGCTGTCGCTCCCGATTTATCCTGCCAGGCCTGTGCCTAGAGCCTTTCTTGATTGGTGACATGTCCATTTCGTAAGGCTCAGAGATCCCATGGGGTGGGGCAGGGGGTGTGCCTTCTATGGCTATGGAAGCAAAGTGCAGGTGGGCTGGCTGCGTCCTGTGTGGGGAACCCCAACCTGCTGTCTCCTCCAGGTGCCCCCCAAGCCTGCACTCTGGGCGCTCCTGCTGGCGCTGCTGGGGACGGCGCCAAGCCGCGCCCAGTCCCCCGCCTGCAGCGTCCCCGACGTGCTCCGCCACTATCGCGCCATCATCTTCGAGGATCTGCAGGCCGCCAAGAGGTGGGGCGGGGCGGGGGCCGAAAGGACCAGGCCAGGCTCCAGACACTTTCATTTCATGCAGAAAAACCCGACTCGACCCGGGGGCTCGGGACGGCGGCGACGGCCTGGGGCCTCCTGCGGCGCCCAGAAGGTACGGAGGAGGCGCCCCTACCCATGCTCGCCGGCCGGCTCCTCTCAGTCTCCCCCCACCCGCCTTCCTCCCTTCCCTCCCCAGGAGCACAGTATCCTCCTGTCCATCTCGTCCCTGGGTCGGACTCTGCGCCGGGCGGTGACCGGGGGCCGCCGCGGGGCCCTGGAGAGAGCGGCTTGGACGGCGGCTGTGCGCACCGAGGCGGTGATGCGGCGCCACTGCAGGACGCTGCGCCAGGTGTGCGCGCCTCCCCCAACCCCGCGGGGGCTCCACCGGCCTAGGCTGGGGTCGGGCCGGGCGTCGCCTCCCTTCCCGGACCGGGCTGGGCGCGGGGGCCGTGCGCATTCGCTGACCGCCCTGTCCCCGACAGCGGAGCCGGCGGCCCGAGAGGCGCCGTGCCCGGCGTCGCGGCGGCCGGAGGCAGCTCCTGCTGCGCGCCCTGGACGCCGTCGCCACCTGCTGGGAGAAGCTCTTCGCGCTGCGCGCCGCGGCCTCCGGGGGCTCCTAGCGCGGCCCGCCCCGGCCCTGCCTCCAGCGAGCGCCCCGCGTGGGAGAAGCAGCGGGGCCGCGGCAGATCATGTCGACCTGTTGGCGACCTCGGCCCCTCGCTCGACGCAGCCCGCGTGCCCCGGAGGGCCCGGGGCTTGGGGAAAGCGCGCCCGGCCGCCGCTGGGTCTCGGAGGAGCGCGCCCTCCCCGCGCCGGAGGCCTCAATAAACGGAGCTGGCGCCGCGGTCCTGCACTCCCTTCGCACGCGTCTGTGGCCTGGGGCCGCCGGGTCTGCGCCTCCACGGCGGGGAGCGGTGGAGGGGAACGCGGGACCGGCACTTCCCGTCGCACCTGGACGGGGCGGAGCCGCCGCTCCCAGCCTCGGGCAGCAGAGGGCGGGCGCGGGACGCTGGGCGCGCTCCGGCTCGGTGCGCTGCTCGCTGCTCGCTGCTCGCGGCTGGGCGGAGAGCAGATCGGGGGACTCCTGGGGCCCCTAAAACGTCACGTATCCGTCCTGCTCCGCTTTGGACCGGGGCAGGGGGTGGAAATTGAGGGGAGGGGAAGGCTGGACTTGGTGAATTCGGAGCAAAACAACCGGATAAAGGAAACGGGCCCGAAGGGAAGCGGGAGCTGCGGGCCCTGGCTGTGAGCTTGGCCAGGCTATTTCCTGCTGCCGCAGGAGGGGTGGCCACGGCCTGGGCTCAGAGACTGCCCAGCCCCCTCTGCAGGACTGGCCAGGCTGCCGGGGATCTGCTTTCTGGCCCCTGGAACCCTCCATTTGCTGGGGGACTGACCCCTGGTTCCCCCATCTGATGCACAGGTCTGAAAGAAGCAACCCCCTAAGCTGACCCTGACCCAGCCCCACACTGTGTCAATGCATTTAGCTTGTGCAACAGAGCTACCGTTTCTGTTTTACAGATGGGGAAACTGAAGCGCGGGGAGGTTGTGAGACCCGCCCCAGATCACACAGCCGGCAGTGTTAGAGCTGGTCTTAGACCCAGGCCCAGGGTTCTCTGTCTGGAGGCTGGGGAGCCAAGCTTCCTGGACTTCAGAGCCTTGGACTCTGAAGCACTTCTGACAGAGTCCCTGGCCAAGCACCCAGCAAGTGTTGCCAGGCCTAGTTCTGCCGTGCCTGCTCCGTGGGGGCCAGCATGGGCCAGTGTAGGAGGGATGACGGGGAGAGGCGGGGTGCAGGAGCCCCGGCTGGAGCCAAAGCACTTTACGGAGGCGCTCGGACATATCCCGAGGCAGCGGAAGGTCTTTGGTGAAGGAGGATGTTAAAGTGGGGATTTAGAAAGATCCCCGTGGCTTGTATGGAGGGCTGGTGAGGATGAAGGGGTGAGGACAGGTCCAGGCTGCCCAGGGTCCTGGCTGGAGTACCTGGGTGGGCCTCTGGCGAGCACTGCAGAGGGAATGGGTCTGTTTGAGGTCCCTGAGGGAGCTGGGGCACCACGGACATGGCTGGGCTCAGCTGGGCGTGCTGGGGTGTGGAACATAAGGTATAGACAGCACAGCGTGTCTGGAAGGCAGCTGAGTTGGGGCCTGGAGAGAGAGTCCAGGAGTCTGGGCTGGGCTCAGGGACAGAATGGTGACCGCCCCTCCGTGAAGGCTCCCACTCTCTTGTTTCCTCGAGGGCAGCTGGCTTCTTGCACTTGGACCTACTCCAACCCCTGGGCCATGGGGAGAGCACTCCTCTCCTGTCCTAGGACCCATGCGTGGCCTCCTGGGCTGTTCCACGGCTCCTGCCCACCCACAGTGCTCCCTTCCTGCTGTTCAGGGCAATCAGAGGCTGGGGATGTGGGTGGGCAACAGAAACAGCTCCCTCAACCCCAATTGAGAAAGGTTCAAACAAGCCACAGCCTCCTGGGGGAAGGAGGAGGAACAGATGCCTCAGGCTTCTGGGGACACATGTCCGTGACTAGTCCTGGACCTCGACCACAAGGATGTGTGAGAAGCCCCTGCATTCTGGCCCCTGGCCCCTCCCCCTCATGCAGGATGGGACCAGGTGGGCTTTGGGCTTCTGGGACAGAGTTCACTGGTCCAGGGTGGGGACATCCCAACTGGACTAGGTCTGGGGGCGTGTGGGGCTGCCCGAACTGGCTCAGAGCTACTGAGAGCCATGAAGACTAGGAGAGACGCCGCAGGTGCCTGCTAAGATCCGAGAGGCTCAGCACTGGGACCCTGTGGATACTTCCCATGGCTCCTGCGTAGCTCAATGAGGACAGGAGCACATCTCCTTCACCTTGGCATGCCAGCACCTGGCCCAGGTACCACATGAGCTGCTCAAGAGATGTTTGTTGGCTGGAACTGACCAGAACCAACCCAGAGATGGAAAGAGACGCAGTGGCCCCATGGCCGATAGGGACGGAGCTGTTGGCCACGGGGCCACTGAGGGCAGATCCCACGGACCGGCCCTGTGTATCCATAGACCCACGGGTGATGCCTTCCCTGCAGAGGCCCCAGGCAGGTAGCCTGGACCTGGTTCTTTGTAAAATACTGTTGCTGGGTTGAGGCTGCACACAGTACTGTCCTGACCCACCCTCCTGCCTCCTCCTGGCTCCTCCAGGGAGGTGGGGGCTGTTCCAGGGTGACAGATGGGCCTGCAGGGCATGGCTTTGGTTGTGCAACTTCCCACAGCCCAGGAGCCGGGCCCCTCCATGTGCAGCTCTGGGAGGAGGGGGCCCAGCAGGCTTTGAAGGGGGCCTGGCTCCCCAGGCCTCCCCAGACTGGGAGCCTTTGAAAGAACATCTGGAACTCGGGCAGCTGGCTAACTAGTCTCTGGATTTGCAAAACCAAAAGTTAATCCTGACTTTGCTTCTTGTGTGTTCCCCACCCCTGCCCCCAAGCTCCTCTCTCTCCCCACCGCACCTCCACTCTGCTGAGGTGGGGGCTGCAGCCTCTCATGGTCTCCTGAAGCACCTTCCCCCTCCCCCACCACGGCCTGGGAGTTTTGCTGAACTGGGCTGAGCTGAGCAGAGGGAGGTGGTGGGAAGGATGGCTGTTGCTGGTGTCCCTGCATGCTGGGGCCCTGGGAGAGGACCGGACGGACCACCCCAGCATGGCTGGAGATGGCTGGGCAGCCATGTAAGTAGTCCCAGGCGGAAGCAGCTGCACAGACCTGGGAGGTGCCTGGCCTTTGCGGGCCCTGAGCCCTGCAGGTGTGCAGGGAGGCCGGCCCCTCCCTCCAGCTGTGGCTGACTCGGAAACAAGTCCCCCCAACTCCAGGAAACACATACTCACTGGTGGGGATGCCAGGTGCTGGGCCCATTGTCTCTGCCAGTGCCTTCAGGACCTTAGGGGGGCCCAGCGACAGCCCCCATCCTGCCCCCTCCCCAGGAAGACCCAGCTTTGTAAACAGAAACAACCATCGCTTCCCCCCCCCCACCCCCTCTTAAAATCCCGGAAGAACCAGCAGGAGGTCGCACCTGCTGGGGGATGTGAGTCCTTGTTTTGGGGGAAATGAGGAGGTCAGGCCTGTGGGGGCAGGGCAGAGCCGCGGCTGGGGAGGTGGGTGCCCTGGGGCTGGACACGGGTTCCCGGGTCCTGCGTCGCCCGGTCCGGAGGTCCCGTCACGGGCCTCCTCGCGGCCTCCCCGCCCGGCCCGATTGTGACAGCTGCAGTCAGGGGAAGAGGCGGCCAGGGCTCCCCGCCAGGTGAGCAGGCCCCGGCCTTGGGCCGCCCCTGGCGCCCCCTGCCCGGCGTGAGGCCAGGGGTCCGGACTGCGGCCCGAGATAAGCGCCGCGCCCGCCGCCGCTTCCTGCACTTGCAGCGCCTCCGCCGCGCGCGGCTTCCTGTTTTCTCGAGCTGGCGGGTGGGGTCGTGGGGGACGAACGCGGTCCTGGGAGACAGGGTGGGGTAGCGGGGGATGGGACGGGTCTTGGGAGACGGGACAGGGGTGGGGGGTACGGGAGAGGAGTCGTGGGGGAGGAAAGAGGGGGCATGGGGGGTGGACGGGGGTGGGGGGACAGGGCGGGGGTCCTGAGAGACGGGGCGGGGTCGTGGGAGAGCGAGTGCGGTCGGGGAGGGTGGGGTGCTGTCCCGAGGAACAGAAGCTGGGGAAGCCGGAGCAGGCCGGAGGAGTCTTAACAAGAAAGATCCTAGCAGGGCACGTGGCTCACGCCTGTAATCCCAGCACTTCGGGAGGCCGAGGCGGGCAGATCGGGAGTTCGGGACCAGCCTGACCAACATGGTGAAACCCTGTCTCTACTAAAAATACAAAAATGAGCCGGGTGTGGTCCTGTGCACCTGTAGTCCCAGCTACTCGGGAGGCTGAGGCTGGGGAATTGCTTGAATCTGGGAGGTGGAGGTCGCAGTGAGCCGAGATCGCACCACTGCACTCCAGCCTGAGCAACAGAGTAAAACTCTGTCTCAAAAAAGAAAAGTAAAAAGAATAATAATGAACCTGGGTTTCCCTGTGGTTGCCTTCTGCGTGGCTGGAGCTGGCCCCTAGGGCTCCCTCCCGGGCCTGGGGCAGAAGCGGTGGGTGGGCTGGATGGAAGGTTGGTCCAGTGCCTGTAGAGCCTTAGTTTTTTTGGGGGTCTGTTTGGGATTGGAGGTTTGCAGCTCTGGATCCCCCTTTCCAGGGCAGCTGGTTCTAGCATATGGGTTCAAGGTACTTAACCTATTGTTCATATTTTGTTATTAGAGATATGCATTTTTGTAATTTTAATAAAGACACAATTACACAAAACATTGTACACAAATGTTCATAGCAACATTATTCCCGATAGCTGAAAAGTAAAAGCCATCAGTGTCCATCAGCTGCTGAATAGAATGTGCTATGTCCTCTCGTGGATATCCAAGGAGGGAATGTGACTCAGCCACAAAAGGAATGCAGTACTGACACAGGCCACAACATGGGCGAACCTCAAAAGTGTGCAGGGTGAGCCACGCCAGACATGAAAGGCCACAAGGGTACCGTATATTATCCCATGTATAAGAAACGTCCAGACCAGGCGCTGCAAAGCCACAGAGACCAAAAGCAGTTCAGTGTTTATCGGGGGAATGAGGAAGGAAAGAATGGGTTTCTCTTGAGGGTGGTGAAAAGCCCTAAAATTAAAGCTGGGCGTGGTGGTGCACACCTGCCGTTCCAGTGAGGCAGGGATCACTGCTGTGAACAGCCTGGGCAAAATAGCAAGACCCCGTCTCAAAAAAAAAAAAAAAATAGAGGCCACGTGTGGTAGCTTATGTCTGTAAGTCCAGCGCATTGGGAGGCCAGGTGTTCAAGACTAGCCTGGGGAACATGGGAGTCTAAAGCAAACCAACAAGGTGCATAGCTCCGAGGTAGAGCATTTGACTGCAACAGCCAGAATGCTCTAAAATTAGGTAGTGGAGACGGTTTACAGCCTTGTGAATAATCACTCCATTGCACACTTAAAAGTTTATGTAGGCTTTGTAGAATGTAAGTGGAGTGGCTGGGTTTCCCGGGGGGTGTGTCCTGCTGAGTGGTGGGGCTCAGGTCCCCACACACGTGCCCTCCTTACTGTCCTAGCAGGACCTTGCTGGGGTCAACTATGTTCTTTGTCTGGCGTGTGGCTGGGTGTCTGTGTCTGTTGCTGTTCCCAACGGTGTGCAAAGTGATGACCATATCTGCTGGGGAGAGGGGTGTACCATACCTGTCCTCAGCCCCCATTTTCTCTGACTCTGTGC